CTACTACCCTTACTACTACTACTACTACTACTACTATTACTACTACTACTACTACTACGATAGTACTAGTACTAGTCTAGTAAGTACTAGTACTAGTACTACTACTACTACTACTACTACTACTACTACTACTACGACTACTACTACTACTACTACTACTACTACTACTACTACTACCATTATTACGACCACGACTATTACAACTACGAGTACGACTGCGACTATTTCTACTACGGCTACTACTACCACCACTACTACTATTAGTATTATTACTACTACTACTACTTCTACTACTACTACTGTACTACGATTGCTACTACTATCCCTACTACTACGACTATTATTAATACTACTACTACTACTACTACTACCACTACTACTACTACTACTACTACTACTACTACTACTACTACTACTACTACTACTAGTACTACTAGTACTACTACTACTACTACTACTACTACTACTACTACTACTACTGACTACTACTACTACGACTACGGCTACGACGACTACTACTACTACTACTACTACTACTACGACTACTACTACTACTACTACTACTACTATTACTACTACTACTACTACTACTACAACTACTACTACTACTACCCTTACGACTACGACTACGACTACAAGTACGACTACTACTACTACTACTACTGCTACTACTACTACTACTACTACTACTACTACTTCTACTTCTACTACTACTACTACTACTACTACTACTACTACTACTACTACTATCACTACTACTACTACTACTACTACTACTGCTGCTGCTGCTGCTACTACTACTACTACTACTACTACTATTACTACTAGGAGGATCCAGTTTGTATACTTCAGAATCGATGCAATTCGGTGCGGTTTTGCGCACGCTTCGGTGCCCTCTTGCCCATGTGAACACAGTGCTCGTGCGCAAATCAAAACTGAGACCAATTCCAACTCTGGCACGTATGTTGGCTTCCAGAACCTCTGCGTCGACATAGGAGGTGTCACTTGGCCTTCACAGTCGTCTTGGTCTTCTCTACAATTAAAATATTATTGTGAGGCTACCCCAAGCAGGTTGGGATTGGGCCCAGTTTGCTTTTCGCACTGGTTGGGATTGGTCCCAGTTCGTTGGGATTGGGCCCAGTTGGTTGGGATTCGGCCCACATGCGGGTTGAATCCCCCCCCTCGGCGCCAGAGGGGAGGGGGGGGGTTGGAATCCCCCCCCGCCCTCCCCCCTTGGGCTGCCACTGGTCATCGTCGCTGCGTCCCCTCCGTCGGCGCTGCTGGCGGCCGCCAGCGCCGGCGCCGGGGGGAAGGGCAGGGTTTGAACCACCCCCCTGGAAGGGCGGGGGGGGGGGGGGTCGGGAGGGTGGGGGTTTGGGGGGGAGGGGAGTCCCCATGGTTTTGTTCGACGGCGCCGAGTGTTGGGGGGGGCCCCCCCCCGGTTCCCAACGCGCTGCCGAATGTTCCCAAGGCAAGCGCCCGTGAAACGCTTTCTCTTTTTTATGTGTATATATATACACACATACATACATACATACATACATACATACATACATACATACATACATACATACACATACGTATATACATATATGTATATACACACATACATCTATATCCGCAAGGGGTTCGCCCCCTGCCGCCGGTCCCCAGTATAATAATGGGATACATCAGAGTCACGTCGGTGCGTCTCGGCGCTGCCTTGGCGCATCTGGGAACATCTTGCGGGGGCGGATCGGAATCATCAGCGCATACTGAGACGATGGCGTTATTGGACGTATCTAGGGGGGCTTTTGGAGGGCGCTTCGGGGGCCTCTTTGGCCGTCTTAGCGCATTCCTGGCCCGTCTGACGCCGTCGGAAGCCGCTTTGGGGGCCTATCTGGGCCAAGTTGGGGCCCTCTTGGCGTGCTCCAGGGCCATCTTGGAGGCCGTCTTTGGCGTCTTCGAACCCTCTTGGGCCGTCTTGGGGCCCTCTTGGGGCCGTCTTCGGGACCTCTTGGGCCGTTCTGGGGCCATCTTGGAAGGCCTCGTGGGCGATCTTGGGGCGATCTTTGGGGGCTTTCAGGCCGTCTCGGGCCGTCGGAAGATCGAAAAGTAGCAAATGCCCAAATCCTTCAAAAACCCAAGGACAATCAATGATTTTGACCTCTTGGTGCCTTCCTGGAGGCCCTCTTGGGGGCCTGTAGGGCCTTCTTGGAGACCTCTTGGGGGCCTCTTGGGCCGTCCTGGGCCATCTTGGAGCCATCTTGGTTCGTCTTGATGGCCTCCTGACCCGTCTGACGGCGTCGGAAGCTGTCTTGAGGGCCTCTCTGGGCCGACTTGGGGCCCTCTTGGAGTGCTTCAGGGCCGTCTTGGAGGCCATCTTTGGCGTCTTGGAGGCCTCTTGGGCCGTCTTGAGGCCCTCTTTGGACAGTCTTGGGGCCCTATTGGGCCGTTCTGGGGTCCTCTTGGAGGCCTCGTGAGCGATCTTGGGGCGACCTTTGGGGGCTCGCGGGCCGTCTCGGGCCGTCGGAAGGCCGAACAGAAGCCAGTGCCAAGATCTATCAAAAACCTAAGGATAATCAAACATTTTGGCCTCTTCGGGCCTTCCTGGAGGACCCCACGTCCCTTCGTTTCTCGATCTCCGGGCGGGCCCAGAGCAGACGCAGTCTCCTTGGACGCGGCTTGTTCTCAGTAATCTTGAGCTCATGGCAGGTTTTCATGCGTCCAAGCTGGCCGAGCTTGGCTCGCCGAAGTCAAATGCTGAAGCATGGGCTTCGTTTGCCATCCAGGTCCCCACCCAGTGGAGCTCGCTTGTACAGGCATTGTTTGATCTCCGGATATGCCCCTCGACAGCCCGGTCGAGAAGACAGAGTTGCCCGCTGCGACGCCCGCTTTCAATACCCTTCCTGCCCCGCGCGCTTCCCGACTGAGAAGGCACTGGCCTCCCATCAGAGGGCGGACACACAAGCTCCGATCTCCGTTCATGGCGTACCTCCCCAAGTGAGGAGTACAGTATGCCCGAGTTGTCGCATGCAATGCTCTTCTCGTCTTCGGCTCCTCGCCCATGCGATTGAGACCAGGAGATGGGGTCGCCGTTCCATTTTGTGTAGTGGTCTGCTTCGCACTGGACTTGCGAGCCCCCTCCCGCCAGACGAACAGGAGGCGAACCACGCAGACCGCATACAGCGCGGCGCTGCCCAAAAGAGGGGGCGCACCCAGCCTCTCGCCAGCCAGCCTGAGAAGAGCAGAGCGCTGTCCTCGATCGTTCCTCCCCATTCCTGCTGTCCAGAAGTTGGATTCCAATATCTCGAGGGGGAGGCCAACGCGCCCCCCAACGCAGTCAGATGGGAGGACATCCGTCCCCAGAAGTGGCTGCGAAGCAAAGTCGGGCTCGACCGCGTGGCCCTGTCCCTCGCACGAGCCGAGGCTTGAACCGACGCGTCGTTTTCTTGTGGCGCGTGCATGTTCTTGGATTCGCTCCGTGTGCACAGGCTTCGGCCCAGCTCCGAT